ATTGAAACAAAAAATTCAGTTGAAATTACAAAAATCGCCTTAATAGATTTTGCCTCTTAAAATGGTGGTTAGCATGTGATGCTCTCTAATACATTGAAAACATTATCCATGTAAGTGTGGTGTGCATATATTTTTATAAATATCATATAAGCTATATTACATTAAGTTAGCAAATATGGTAATTAGTCTTGGGATCCATCAACTGTTTAGAAGTCTTCCTCAACCAGAAAAACTTTTTGTCTTTTTTTTTTTTTGAAAAAAAATTTCACTCTGTGTTTGCTTATTTGGTATTCGTGTTGAGATCTGACTATATTCAAATTTACGTCTGATAATTTTTACATTGAGAATAAAATGCTTTCTAAGGCCATCTCCAAAGCTAGCACCATTTCTTGCACCAATTTTACACCAAAATAGTGTAACACCAAATTTACTCCAACCATTACATCATTTTTTACACCAAATCTTCTCTCTCTTCTATATTATATTATTATCTTCTATTTACTTTTTATTTTTTATTTCCTTCAAACTAATACTATCTTTTTTCTTTTTTCTATATTCTTTATATATAATTCACATTCACCACTTATATAATCATTTATTACAAAATTATTTTAAAGGATAAATTAACTAAAAGTAAAATCATTGATAAAAGATAATTAAATAAATATTACATCATAGTCAAATTTAATTTAAGTACCACATAAATATTTAATTTTCGCCTCATTCTCCCATAAATGCTCGATTAAATAATGGTTATATTTCTTTTTATATAATTATAATAATAATAAAATTAACTTATAATTTTATATAAATATAATATATACAAAAATTAATATATCAAAAAATAGGATATAAAATTAAAATTATAAAGATCTTAATATAAAAATTAATTATATACACAATATATTATAAATTAAAAGTCCATAAAATAAAAAGATTGAATAAAATAATATTAAACCAAATTTAGAGTGACAACATTATTCATGCTCTATAATAGTGCAAGAATTAGTGTTGTATTGGAGGAAAAAAATACCAACTTTTTCTTTTTCCTTTGTGTCATTTGCATATGATAACTATTCTTCTTCTTTAGGGATGAAGTGGCCATTTTCATCTATGGCTAATAACTTAGCTACTCAAGCTGAAAGCAGATTTTTTCAGGTTCTGTACAATTTCCTGTTGAATTCTAATTCCTTCATTTATTAATTAAAATATTCTCATAAATTAAATATAATAGATTTTTCTTCTTCTCTTTTTCAGAATTACAACTCCTCCCCAATAGTTTCCAGTAATTCAAAAAGTTCACCCCTAAAGAACTACAAATTCACCACAAAAGATTCCAGGTATTTTCATAGTTTCTTATTAAAACTATTTGAAATTATGGTACCAAAAAAAAAAAATTAGAAACTGTATGGTGATATTTTATTTTTTTTGTTTATAAAAAATTTATTTTTACAGGAAAAATTCTGAACACTTGAGGAAACCTGAGTCAACGTTGACCATATTGTACATGGGTGAGGTCCATATTTTTCAGGATATCACACCAGAAAAGGTTCTTGGAATATCTAATTTTTATTTCTTTTAGTGCAACTGTTTTAATTTGTTATTTTAGTATATATTAATAATGTAATATTCGTATTTTTTTGAATTATATAGGCTGAAGTAATAATGGACTTGGCTTCTAAATCAACGACTCTCCACATGACTGAGATTTCAGAAATGGCAAATAAAGAAAAATATGAAGAAAATAAATCTGAGCCTTCAACACCAAATGCATCCACAAATTATGCTAAAGGAGGTAGCAGCTCTTGGTTCCTTTTTTTTTTTTTTAATTTTATTACTTCTCTATTTTTATATTATTTAAATAAATCTAAATTTTGTATTTGCAGCACTGGCTATGGCTCGTAGAGCAACCCTTGCCCGATTTTTGGAGAAGAGAAAGCATAGGTATAATAAATCTAATGTTATTTTCCTATTATTATTATTTGTTACAGTATTTAAACAATCTAACAAAACCTTCATGGCCATGAAATTTTTTTCACCTTTTTTTCGAAATCAGTGTTTGGCGATAAAATTTTCAATTTTCACTTGAAGATGAATTTTAAAATTTTTCGAAAATTTGAAAAACTCCAAAAAACCTTTTTTCAAAATTTTAACTCAGATCACTTACAAAAATTAAAAACAACCCAAAATTATATTCATGTCCAAACACAACTCTAATTTTTAAATACCATTTTTACTTGAAAAAAAATTATTTTTTCCGGAATTTTACGATTCTTATGTCCAATCGGCCACTAATTTTCTTGGGAAAAAATTAGATACTTGTCATATCAACCCTCAATAAGAAAAATAGGAGAGCAAAATTTAAAGAGGGAGATATCATTTTTCTATTAATTTGTTGATTTCTTTTCTGTGAATGAAGATTGATCACAGCTAGGCCATACCAATATGGTGAAAAAACACCAAAGTTTCCTTTTGAAATGCACCAAGAAGAAGAAACGGCGTCGTCAAGCTTTCATTGGGAAAGCTAATTCAAGACATATGGATTTTTGAATTCTTATTCTTTTAAACGATATATATTGTCTAATGTATTTTTGAATTCTTATTCTTTTAAACGATATATATTGTCTAATGTATTTTTGAATTCTTATTCTTTTAAACGATATATATTGTCTAATGTTCATAGGACTTCTTTAGAAATATTATAATGTTTTATACAAGTTGTATTGGGAAAAAACTGGATTTATATATTGAAGATGACGTGTTATGACACGTGGACTAGTCAAATGGTCAGAACACGATAATCAACCAAGAAGGCACGGGCGACAACGNAGAGAAGAAAGTTAAATAGGCACGAGTCGCTATTCAAAAGGCACGAGTTTCGTACCTATATAAGTCATTTAAAACCCGAAGATCGGAAGGGATTGAAGATATGAATCTGATGACGCACAAGAGTCCAAATTCAGCATTAAATATCAAATACGTTAGAGAATTTGTATTTAATAAGAATGATTGAGTAACATTTCCAATGTCATTTATTGCTCATAATTGTCTCATTAAGACAAAGGCATTACACCTTCTCCTAGAATC